TTCGTTTTAAATAGATTGATTTAAGTAAAGGAAAGTACTACTTAATTGTAAGTACAGGATCTTTCCTACTAATTCTAAATAGATTAAGTACTGCTATATATATATATATATATATATATATATATATATATATATATATTGAGACAAAAGCAGACAGGTCAGCATCTAGTTCTGTTTTTTTTTTCTGATTTCTTTTGAACTAGATATTATAATACTTGATCTGCTAAATAACATGAAAAAATCAAAGTAAAGCTTTTTCAGTTTTGATTTCTGTCTTTCAGACACCTACTCCTTTCTTTTTTTTCCAACATTGATCTTAAATCTCTGACAACAATATTAAAATATTTTTGAATAAAATTCGGGTTAATTTTGTTATATATAGGAATGTCAAGTTGATGTCTATGTAACTTTTATTCACATCTTATCTAAAACTGTTGGGAAAAAAGTATCTGAGATAAGTATTGTTGGGTGTTATCAACAGTGACAGAAATAAGATGGTTCAAGGATAATGAATAAGGTCAGTATGTTTGACAAAGGCACAACAGCAAGTGACAAACTTTTTCAATAAGCTTTAGAATAATATGAAGCAGGTACAGCTGTTTCTCAAAGGAACTGTCTTGTAGTATAGATCATAATTTGTTGTAGCTTTGAACCACTTAGTTGCTTTGGCTTAGATTTCTTATGATATATTGCATGTTTTTAGGTGAATGCTTCATAGTCAAACTGTTGAGAAAATGCCAAGGACAAGGAAGGCTGAGAATAAAAACCTGGAAGTTAAACCTATAACATTTTTGATTCAAAGGTCATCTTGTAAAGAGAGAAGAAAAACTGTACTGGCAAAATCATTCATGGAATTGAAAAGAAAGGCCTGTTTAGAGTTTAAGGTATGCCTGTAATGAAATCAATATCTCTAAACTTTGATGTAGTCATACAACTAGATGTAGGAAGCACAAGAAAACAGATGTATTATCTTGATATTTATGAACTTAAGAAAATGTATCAATAAAACAGGTATTTTCTAGGAAGAAAATCACAAATAGCTTTCAAATCTGTCGGTTGTATTATGCAACTGAATATTTTAAATCGGAAAGAAAGAAAAGAAAATTAATTGAAAATATTCAGTCAATGATTGCTTATGGTAGTGTTTTATATCAATAGTATAGCTATATATAAAATTGTTTTTGCTTTATTACTCTTAGTTCTGTAATATTTTAAGTACTATGAGCAAACTATAACATCATGTTACAAATAATGACAACATCAAGATTGTCCCATACACTAAATTAAATTAAACAAAAAACCCCTCAAAGCCAGTACTTGTGTAAGTATTTATCATGCCTTTCCTTAAAAGTGAGTTAAACTCCCTTAAATTTACAATTTTAGTTTATAATTATTTGAAAATCTCATAATGCTACATACATTTTTTCATATCCTAATATTGTTCATCTGATCACACACAAACACAAAAGAACTCAAGATATAAATAAGAGGTTTAAGAATATAATAAAATGCTCCACTTTAGATGTACCAAGTACTTTCAGCCCATCAAGATCACTCAACAAATAAATCAGCCCACCCTGAATATCAACATCTAACTACTCATACTTATAAAATTATCCAACAAAAACATAAAAAAAGAGTTAAAACTGCATAAAGGAGTTAAAACTACATTCTACAGCATCAATATACACCACTGAACATAAAAGTGATGGTTATTTTACCAGTACAGACAGTGATGAGCCTGAACCTTCAGTACTTTCAAGTTCCACCTCAAACAGCATCAAAGGTTGAAATTTGGATTGCAAGTTCAGATCATTATAAATATCGTAAATGATTAAGTTTCTTTTTAAGCCAAAGATGTTCTACAAACCCCAGGTATAGAAGTATGTTACAGAATTTAGCATATATTGTCCAGGGTTAAGTAACTATGATTAACACAACTTAAATTGGAGTTCCAATTTGAGAGAGAGCAACAATTATAGTGGCAAAATCATTTGTGGGATTGAAAAGAAAAGCCTGTTTAGAATTTAAGATATGCCAGTAGTCAGATGATATAGTCATACTGTATCCATCGAGATTTAGAATAAATTTGCAGCAGGTACATCTGTCTCTCAAATGAACTGTATAGTACTGTAGATTGTAATTCATTGTAACTTTAAATCACAAACTTGCTTTGGCTTGGACAGATTCCTTACCATATACTGCATGTGTTTTGAAATTCTTATGTCCTTATTAACTTTTTTCTCTGGCAGTAAATCACAAACAATAAATTCCCAGATTCACTTACTTGGCATGTTAACCACTAGATCACACCTAGCCCGGGCACTATACAGTACAAGGCCTTGCCATTAAGAGATCTAAATGTTCCTGTACATCTACCCATATATTATAGTTCAGTGGATCTTCTAAAATTTACTTTATTATTAGTATGATCTGAAAATTTCAGTGAGTTCTCTATAATGTATAGTATCTGTTTGCATGGTTTCACCAGATAACAGTGGAGTCATAATAAAATTCTATGAACCTTGTGCTATTGAATTGTAAGTCTCCTTCAATACATAAATTTTGATGATAAAATTAGGACATTCGACTTACCTACTTAGATACAGTGATGTGCACAGGTGGGTGGGGGGTCTTGGTGGGCTCAAGCCTTTGCCTTTTCTCTTCTTATGTCTCAAAAGTGCCCCTTTTCTAAGCTATACAATTTTGTCTATAACTACTAAAAGACAAATGATTTCAGCTTTAAAATGAATGGCACACAGGGACTGAAAGGTCTTTACAGTAAAAAACAATTGTGATATGTTATTAAATGTTAATATGCAAGAATTCAATGTTTAGTTTTAGATTTTAAAAGTGTTCATAAGACCAGTTTAATAGAAATAAAAGATCAGTTTGCTTTTCATGTTTTTCTTCCCTATGTATGTGTACCAGAGGCCCTCGTAGTTTCTCCTACTTCTTCCACCCCCAAAGAAAAATAAATTCTTGCCTTACAGTGCTTGAAAAATGTTACTGCTTAGACATGTATGTTTTTGCATCCACTTGCTTTTGTTACAGTTATAAAAGTTTGACAACTTACTTTAACTTGCCCTTGATACAAATTCTTTATCTGCATTTTGGAAACTCAACCTCCTTTTAACATGAGTAAGGAAGCACATTATGCTAATATAGTAATAGGTAAGTAAACAATGATTTATAAGCATAAGGAAAAAGACTTCTTCAGGTAACATTCTTATAACATTTCCTTTTGATGGACAGTGTGATCTGCTCTGTGAGATGGTCATGTGATGTGGATGGACTTTATATATTTTAATCAATTTGAACTTAGAAGAAAGTTCTCACTGTATAGTTAACAATCAATGAAACAGTAAGTAGCACCCTGAGAACAATGCATACATTGGGGGTATACTGCTGCTACTACTTTTGCCATATACTTCTCCAAAACTGCTTCTGATATTTGTTTCTTTTCCTCATGTGTTCATACAGAATCATATGTTTTAATCAGTAGAAGATTCTTCCAGTATGGTCTTACCTTCATTTACACAAAGCTATCTCAATCTTTTTCTGCCCTCAAAGCATTGCTAAGAAAGTTTTTGCGATCACCACACCAGTCTATATACTACATTAATTATGCACCATCTCTGAACATGAATATATCATGTGACTACACCAATAGTATTGTGCCACCTACATTGGCACAGCTAGCTCCCTCTGCTATTTCTGCTCAATCCTCACTTTCTTGATTGGCACATCATTGTTTAAACGGGTGTTTTTTCACATGTGGTTGCCATTCATGAACATCATTTTTTGCCATTTCAATTTTTTTCAACAGTTTTGTTTTACTATATTTGCATTTACTTGTTTTAACAATTTTTTTGCATTTATTTCTTGGTAATGAGTTACTAAATATCTTAGTATGAATTTGCAATCCATGTATTAACTTTGGAAATTCTAAGTACATTCCAAAATGCTACTGGTACGACTTTGCATGAATTGGGTTTGACTTTACCTGCAGAGGAAGTACAGGCCCTAGTTCACAGGGAGATAGATTCATATGTTTGGCTGGCAATTTATTCTTGTTTTCAAAGTGACAGTGTTTCTGATGAAGAATACAATCAATGAGAAGACAACTTGGACTCTCTTTTTCTGGCACCTTCTTATTTGGTCTATCACACTTTACACTTCTTCAGGAGTTTACACCTTCCACCAGTTGCTGTGCCACCACATCATTCACATTGGTGGAGAATTGTTCTTCTCATTTCTTCCTATTGCTTCCAGTTCTGCCAGGGAATCTTCTGGCAAGTTTTTCAACATGTAAATTTCACACCTGGTTGGTATACCAATGCTAGGTGCAGCTTAGCTGCTCTTTGTGTGACTTTGTCCTTGTTTATAGATGGGAGAATTCAATATTTCACATCCTAAGTGCTCAAACTTTGGTAAGTTAGATATTTGTGTCCTTTGTCACCTGATTTAATTTAGATGAATTATAAGTTAGATATTGATTATTACTTTGTTTTTTTAGGTAAATTTAATTTCTTTGCATGTTTCTTAATATTACGTACTTTGTAGACTTGGCAAATTTCATGGGTTTATTAGTCTGTTATTAATAAGTACTTTAACTAGGTGTGTTTAGTTTGTTTGCAAGGTAAATATCATTACTACTAGTAACATCTAATTTGTTGTTCTGTTGTTAATTATGTGCCTTATCCTAATTTTCATCAGTATAGGACTTAATTACGTGTCTTTTTCATGTATGTTAATTTAGAGGAAATATAAATTAGATGTTGATTATTAATGTGTTTTCTAGGTAATTTTTGTTGGTTTGTATGTTCATTATTAGTATGTATTTTGTGGACTAGATAAATTTAGATGGAATGTGCATTTGATATTTATAAGTACTTTGTTAACTAGATATGTTTAAATAGCTTGTACATTACCCATCACTACTACTAGTAATATATAATTCATTGCTGTATCTGAATATTTTTTTCGTTGTTGTTAAAAATTTTTGTCAGTGTAGGACTGAAATTTTGTTTGTTTGTTATATCACTGATGTGTTCATTTCTTTCCCATTTGTATGGCTGAGCTTATGCTTTGGTTTCTTTTCCTGTGTTGGTAATAGTAGAAACCTTACTTTCTCCTCATCATCTACAATTCGAAGTTCTTCCCCACAGTGCCCACATCATCGATAGTTATTTATTGCTCTAACTTGAGTGTTCCTGTTTGGGGCTTTAACATTTGGACCAACCTTGGCTCTTTGTGTTTTTTTTGAGGAGTATAAACTCTTGCCTGACATCTTCACTCTTTGAGCCTTCTTTCTGTGGATGAATGGCTCCTGCTTGCTTCTTCCTACTCATTTGCCCTTACAAGAAGCAGCATGGGTAGGATTCCTGGTGATAGTAGAGAACTCGGTTCTATCCCCCACTCAATACCCTGATCACTTGGAGGGGTATTCTCAGTCTGGCCTAGCCTTTTCTTTTTTATCTTTGGGTTTGGAACAGGCAGTTCACAAGTCACCTCACATTTCTTACAGCCTTATACATTCTATCTCTTTGGGGATGTGGGCTTCTTTAAATGCTGTCATTCCCATGGGTTGGGCTTGTATGCAATCCGTTCGGTGGACACTATAACAGTGGAACTTTTCGGATCCCTGTCTTGGTGATTAGACAGAGACTAGACCACAGCAGAGTTGCTTCTTACTCCATCTCGTCCAGATTTACATCTGTTCATGAACTCGTATTTAGAGAGTTGGAGTTCTTACATTGACTCCCTGAATATTTCCGGTCTCTAGTCGATCAAGGAGTTTTCACCATATCACCTTTTTGAAACCTTTGGCAGTTTGTTAAACTTTGTCACACTTTCTTCCTCAGGGGTTATGGTACATTCT